AAAACCATGGGTTGCTGAAACCCCTTCTATTACTTAGCTGAATAATTCTGGGAAAATTATTTAGCCTCATTTAAACCTCTGTTGTCTCATTGATAAAATGAGCATGACAACATTTTTTTGTACTAATGTAAGGAGTAGAAATGAGGTCTACAAAGCACCTGATACATCACATAGTAGATGTACAACAAATGGAAACTACTTTGTCCCCTGGATATGGGGTTCAGGGAGTTCACATGAACTGAATGCCTACAATGTGCTCAATGTGTTATTTTATTTAATCCTCATGTTTGTCTCAAGAATTAGGTATTGTTCTCTCCCAGTTAAGAGAGGGACAGAGTGAGGTACAGAAAAAGAAAGTCACTTACTGAAATCACTGGGTGGGGATTCAAATGTGGATTGGTCTTGTGTGGCTCATGGATCAAGGCAGGGCTGAGTCTAAAGATTGTGGATCTATGGATGACAGTGATTGGTAAGATGGTATTTATTTATTTAGGTTCCATCTACGCGTCCTTGTATAGGCTGGGAGATGAGAAAACAACAATGAACACCAGGCACATTTCCCCATGGAGATAACTGATTAGCTAAAAAAAAAAAAAAAATCAGATTAAATAAGAATATGGTTTATATAATGACAGGTAAGCAAAGCACAGTGGAGAAGTTTTTGTGATTTAGGAGTGAATGTTAGGGTTCCAGATTAGCTAACAAAATGTTGAAGAGAGAATCCATGAGTGAGGGCTTGGCCAGTCAATAGCAAATGAAGAGCCTTGGACAAAGACTTGGACAGTCAATAACAAAGTTCTTCCTTTGGGAAGCCAGGAGGGAAAGATACAAATGGCTGGGTCATTGAACCATGAGAGAATAAATGAGGATCAAGTGTCCTGAGGTTTGTCCCATTTGACCTGGGAATCCAAGTCAAGAAATTGACAATCTCAAGGTCAAGGATCCACATTCTGGGCTCTGTTTTTGGATTTTATGAGAATAAATGTCTCAGAAGACTTGGAGACTTGGCTTGAAATTAGATAATGTAGACTCAATATTAGTATGATGTTCATTGACAGGCTTCTAGAATGTGTGAAATGCAACTAAAATTGTTTGGGGGGAGTTGGAAATATGAAAGGGGGGTGGAAGAAGGAGTTGAGCATGGAAATGAAGACAGAGTCTCAGGATTGGGGATGACAATAGAAAGAGAGTTGGGATCAGAGTGTTAGGATTGATAAATTGGGGTTAGTTTCATGGGGAGGATTTCAATGTGGGCTTCATGGAATATAATTGGGATGGGGTTCAGAATTCAAGGTGTCAAAACTAATGTCTGAATTCTGCATGGGGCTATGTTTGGGGACTGAGGTTAGGGTGACACTCAGCGTTTGAGCAGAGGTTGAGTTTGACTTATGATTTAGGGTTAGAATCAAGAGTCAAGGTTAGGTTAGCTGAGACGATGGTTACTAGACTGAGTTTATATTTGGAGTCAGAGACTGGTTAAAATTTGAGGTTTAGGATTGTGATGTAAATTGGGATTGGTCAAGGTTGTGGAAGGATTTGGGATGACATGAGGCCTGTGGGGAAAGATTGAGGTCCAGTGTGAGGTATAAATGGGGGTTGGTCAAGTTTGAGGAAGAATTTAGAGTTAGAATAGGGTACAAGTTGAGGTTTGGGGTCAAAACTGTGTCAGGATTGGTTATATCAAAGTAAAGGTTGGTCTTTCCTTTTAGAAGCATTTGACCATATCCAATTATGCATCTTCAATGAATGGGGCATCATTTGTCCATTTGTTCAGAAAGAGATCTCCAAGCCTTAACATATCCTTCTTCTCAGCACACTTTCCATTCAACTCAGCAACAAAACCAGTTGATTCTCTTCTCAAGACCTGTTGATTCTCTTTCTTAAATGCATCTTTAGAAGTCCTGGTAAGGTGCTATAAGATAAGTACTGGAGTGTTATCCACAAAGTTGGTGGTTCAAACTCACCAGCTACTCCTTGGAAACCCTATACAGGGTCACTATGAGTCAGAACTGACTCGACAGCACTTAATAACAATAACAACAAATACATCTTGAATTCTTCCAATTATCACCATCTCCACATCCCAACTACCCTTATCCAAGTCACCATCATCTCTCATCTCAACAATAGCAATGGCCTCCTAATGGTCTTTCTATATCTTCACATCTTCCTAAAATCCATACTTCATAGAACAGTCAGAGTCATATTTTGAAAAATACAAATCTAATTGTATCACTGCCCTGACTGAAGTCCGTGTGTCTCATCATTATTCACAGGGTTAAGTCAAGCTCACGACAACACACAAAGTTCTTTATTGTCTGGTCCCAGACAACCTCTGGTTTCTGAGCTCCATCCATATGTGCTTCTTCTCCTGGCCTTTGCACATGCTGATCGCCCTAGGTTAGATTTACAATGTCCTCCCACTTTCTTCCAGTCAGTGTTTACTTTTCCTTCAATTCTCAGTTCAGAGTCACTTCCTGTGTCAAATTCTTTTGCAAAATGCTTTCATAATATTTCACACCTTTCCATTTAGAGCACCCAACATAGTTGTAATTTCAAACTTTGTGAATTCTTTCATTGTTTTTTGCCTCCACACATCAGTGAACAGAATAGACAAAATGTCCTGTGTTCATAGAGGCTTTTATTTTAGAGGGTGGAGAGAGTCCAAACAATAATAAGTATATTAAATATGTAATTTGTTAGACTGCATTAAGTACTACAAAGAAAAGTAAATTAAGAAGGAGAGATAGGGAGTTACTCATATCCTCCCTTCTCAGGGATCCTTGAAGTTCAGTTTTAGGGACAATGGTCTCCATGTGAGGGTGTCATTTGAGCAAATTGTTAAGGAGGTGATGACGAGAGTCATGTGGCTACCTGGAGATAGAGCGTTTCAAGCAAAGCATGCAGGCAAGTGAGGTAGACAAGTGGTGTGGCTAGAATGTCTTAGCAAAGACTCCACTGAGACTGGAGCTGAGTGAGCAGAGAGGAGAAGGGCAGGTGATGAAACCAGTGATAGAGCAGGACTCGGATGAGAGAAACTTGAAGACCCATGTAGGATTTTGGCTTGCACTTTGAGAAAGATAAAGAGCCCTGGAGGTGTAGTGTTGGGCTACTTACCACAATGTCAGCAGTTCAAACCCCACAAGATATTCCTGTCTGTTCCTATAAAAGATTTACAGTCTCGGAAACCCAATGGGGCAATTCTAGTCTGCCCTACGGAGTTGCTATGAGTCAGAATTGACTCGATGGCTTCTTGTTGTTACGTTCCCAGTCATAGCGACATTTTGCACAACAGAATGAAACACTGCCCAGTCCTGTGCAACCTCACAATTGTTGATAAGCTAGAGCCCATCACTGCTGCCACTGTGCCAACCCATCTTGTTGGAGATCTTCCTCTTTTTCACTGACCCTCCACTTTACTAAGCATGATGTTCCTTCTCCAGGAACTGGTCCTTCCTGACAACACATACAAAGTATGAGAGACGAAGTCTCCCCATCCTAGCTTCTAAGAAGCATTCATACTGTCCCTCTTCAACATAGATTTGTTTGTTCTTCTGGCAGTCCATGGTACTTTTAATATTCTTCTCCAACACCATAATACAAATGCATCAATTCTTCTATGGTCTTCCTTATTAACCATTGTACAATTTTCACATGCATATGAGGCTATTGAAAATACCATGGCTTGGGTCAAGTGTTACTTAGTCCTCAAACTGACATCTTTGCTCCTAACACTTTAAAGAGGTCTTGTGCAGCACATTTGCCTAATGCAATATGTCATTTGATTTCTTAACTGCTGATGAGTGTTGATAGTGGATCCAACCAAAATAAAGTCTTTGACACCTTCAATCTTTGGCAATGCGTTTTTGTTTGTTTGTTTTAATTGTTGTTGTTATTAAGTGCCGTCAAGTCAGTTCTGACTCATAGCGACCCTGTATAGGGTTTCTGAGGAGTGGTTGGTGGGTTTGAACTGCTGACCTTGTGGTTAGCAGTCTAGTGCTTATCCTACAGTGCCACACCAGGACTCCAAATCTTAAAACGTGCATTGATTCCCAACTTATAAATCAGACCCCTAAATAGGATTCTTTCCTCAGCTCTGACCCCAAACCTTATCTCAATCCTGACCCCATACCTCAACCCTGACTTTAGCCCAGTTTGACCACTGTTGTTGTTAGGCGCCGTCAAGTCAATTTCAACTCATGAGTTGGAGGTTTGGTTCCTTAGAAGAAACACCTGGCTATCTACTTCTGAAAAATCATCATTGAAAACCCTGTGGACACACGTGGGGTCAACATGAATCAGAATCAACGAGAGAGGAACTGGTTTTCTTTATACATAGGAACTCACATACAATGTGATTAAAAATTAATAGGAAAACACAGACTAAGGTGATAATAGTAAGCATTGTGTGGGGTGGGGTTAGGGACAGCCTTCTCTTTTATTAGGACGGTGGTTGAGGGCTTGGCTGCTAAGTAATTCAAACCCATATAATGACTCCAGGAGAGGCAGACCTAACCATCTGATCACTTCAAGCTTACAGCCAAGAAAATCCTATGGGTCAGTTCCAGTCTGCCACATGAGGTTGTGATTCAGTAACACCAGCTATATTAGGATTGGGAATTGTGTTCAGATCCAGAGGCAGACTGGGGTCTGGTTTGAAAAAAAATGTCCATGTGCTGGTTATAATTAGAAGGGGGAAGGGAGTTCTGAAACACCCCCAGCTAGGGAGCAAAGGCAAGAAAATGGTCTCAGAGAAGAACCCAAGATGTCTACGCCCTGGCACTACCCCTTCTTGAATTCTGCACCCCACCACTCACAGGCAGACAGAGCACCCAGTCCCTCCCCCAGAGCAGCTAGGGGGACGGTGAGGCCAGAATGTGTGGGGGCGGGGGCAGGTGAGCAGAGTTCCACCCCGCCCGGCCTGAGGCCGCCTGAGGGCTTCGAGATAAGTACAAACGCAGGAAGGGGGCGTCCCAGAGCCGGCTCTGCCTGCACCCCAGGGCGCTGGAGGCGGGTGCGGGCACCAGCACGGTATAAGAGAGCCGCCCTGAAGAAGCCAGAGACGCTTGGCTCCCGACCTAGTCTGGAGCCCAGATCAGACCCTCCAAAGGTAAGAAGGGCCCCTCTTGAGTGTGCTTGGGACAGCACCTGCTGGCCACTTAATTCTGGTTCCTACTGGGGAAAGCTTCTGAAGGGTCTGTACTTCTGGTCATGAGAGATGAGGGGCTGGGAGCTTGGCTGGTCCTTTGGAGAAAATGACTTCTGAGTCCCAGATGGAGGGCAAATTGTGGTCCAGGTTCCTAGGCCCTTAGGGGAGAACAGGTCTAGGAGGCTGGACAACTGAGTCATGGGAAAGGAGGCAGTGTGGACTTCTGAGTCTTAGAAGTCTGGAAGCTTGGACTCTTAGATGTGTGGAGGAGGGGATTTGAACCTCTGGGTCTTGAGAGCTGAACTTCAGGACTGGGACCAGAACTTCTGGGTCTGAGAGAGGAGGAAGCTGGGGACCTGGATTTCTGGGTCTGAGGGAGGAGGAGTCATGGGACCTGAACCGCTGAGTCTGAGGGAGGAGGAGACCCAATTTCTCTTTTCTGAACTCTTTCCTCTTTCCAGAGCCAACAGAATAGCAACCCCTTCTGTTCTGGAAACGGCTGAAGGGCTCAAAGAGATCACCATGGAGAGATTTTTGCACCCAACCCTGTTAATCCTACTGGTGTTCTTGACCAAGGGAGCTTCTGGACAAGAAGGTGAGGGCTGGACCCTGGGAGGCTTGACTTGGCCTCCAGGTCCCCAGTGTCCCTGTTCACCCTCTCCAGAATCTCCGCTCCCCAAGCAGCTCCTGAGGCAGAACTTTGCCTTTCCTTCAAAAGCTTCCTCTCTTCTTCCTCCTTTTGCTATATGCCCTCCTTCCTCCTGCCTTCCTGGATCTCTGGCTCCTTTCTCCTGCCTTCCTGGGTCTCTGGATCTTCTGCACTCAATGTCTCTCCCATCAGCTTTTGTGCTGGTCTCCAGAGAGATGCTTCTCCTGAGTGTGCTCTCTCTGTCCACCTGTCATGTTGAGGTGCCTGCCTCCTCTGCTCTCTGACCTCTCTTCTTGGTTACCTCTTCACTGGAGTACATTGGAATTCCTCTTTTGTTCTGCACTGGTCTCTGTTTTTGCTAGTCTTCATGTCTATCTCTGCTTTCTCTGTATGTATGTCTAGCTCTCTCCATCTCTGGCATTCCAAATCCCTGAGTTCCTGCTTCAACCTTCTGTAGACAATTGCTACTCAGTTTCCACCCCGTACCCCCAGGTCGATATCCAGCGCAGGCTGACAAGGACGGGGAGAAGATTATTGATGGTTACCCATGTCCAAGCCACTCCCAACCCTCACAGGTAGCCCTGCTCAAGGGCGATCAGCTACACTGTGGGGGGGTGCTGCTCAACCAGTGGTGGGTGCTCACTGCTGCCCACTGCAAGATGGAGTAAGTGCTGCCTGGACGGGCTTGTTGGTGGGGAAGGACTCCTATCTCTCTCTGGGTCTCTGCTCCTTCTCCCTTGCTGGGTCTCTGGCCCCGCTCTTTGGGTCTCTCTCTCTCTCTCTCTCTCTCTCTCTCTGGGTCTTTCTCCCCTCTCTCCAAGTTTCTTCTCCCCGCTCTTTAGTTCTCTGTCCTCCTCTTTTTGGGTCTCTGCCCCTCTCTCTCTAGGTCTCT